GTGAGCAGGGGATGGATGTTCCTGTTAATCAGGAACTTCCTGAACTTTGGTGAGGTGAACGCAGGCGCTCTATCCGTGAGTAGGCGTTTCGGAGAGCCGTCCTGCAACACTCGCTTTATCACCTGTTGATAGGTGGTGATGCTGGTAGATTTTGAGGGGAAGGTCCACGTGTAGCGCGAAAAGTGATCCACCACAACGTGGAGGTAAGCTTTGGCGTTACCATATTTGGCAAGCCCAGCTATGGTGTCGAGGGCGACCAGATCAAAAGGCTGAGTGGCCACAGGAAGTTGTCCTAGTTCCCCAAACGTGGGACCTCGAGGGGGTTTTGTTGACTGACAGATGGCGCAGGCTTTGGTGGTTTTGGAGATGTCTTCTGACATCCCCTTCCAGTAGTACTGGGGAGAGATGAGCCTGGTCATCTGGGATATGCCCGGGTGGTTGTACCGACTGTGCACCTTTGTTAGTAGGTCGGGAACGAGGGCGTCAGGGACGACAATTTTGGTTACACCTCTACGCTTTAGGGTTTGCAGTCCGTTTCGATCAATGGTCAGTTTAGATTCTCCCGAAGGAGTGAGTTGGTGGTTCTTAATGATGGTGGCGTCTAAGAATCCACAAAACGGGTTACGGGATAGGAGGTCCGCTTCATGTTGTAGTGATCCTTTTATGTAGCGGACTTCGTATTCGTAACACGATAACCTCAAACTCCATCGGAATAATCTGCCTGACGGGTTTTTGATCGTCTTCAGCCACTGCAGTGCGTGATGGTCAGAAAATATGGTGAATTTTCTGCCCATTAGATACACACGGAACTTCTCCACGCTCTCGACAATGGCGAGGCATTCTAGTTCGGAGATGGTGTAGTTCCGCTCGTGTACACGCAGAGCGCGGCTGAAATATTGGACTGGGTAGGCCTTCCCAGCGGAGTGGACTTGTTTGAGGACGCCTGCAATGCCAAGTGTTGATGCATCGCAATATACCTGGCATGGTAGTTCATCCTTGTAGAGGTGCAATACGGGGTGTTGTGTGAGGCTTTCCTTCAGGCTGGTGAACGCCTTTTGGCATTTGTCATCCCAGTCCCACGTCACATCCTTCTTGAGAAGGTTGTTGAGTGGGGTCCGCAAACGGGCATAGTCCGGGATGAACTTATTATAGACGTTCACGGCGCCTAAGAAGGATTGCAGCGTTTTGCGATTGTTCGGGGGTGGGATAGCGTGGATTACGTCGGTATTGCGGATAAGTGGGGTGGTGGTACCAGCGGTGATTGTGTACCCCAGAAATTCGATGGTCTGCCTAAAAAACTCGCATTTGGTGAGGTTGAGTTGCAAGTTCTCCGCGTCGCAGAACGCGAAAAACCTGCGCAGGTGTTCTTGGTGTTCCTCCAGTGTCTCCGAATATATGACAAAGTTGTCAAAATAGTGCGCCACACAATCAAGTCCGTGCCCCTGCAGGACCTGATTGATTGCCCTTTCATAGATCTGTGGACTGGTCTTAAGTCCGAAAGGCAATCGGGTGGGCTGATACAACCCGTCTATCGTGGCGAAGGCCAACAGTGGTCGAGAATCAGGGTGTATCGGCACTTGCCAATATGCGGAGGAGACGTCGGCAGTCGAGAAATACTTGGCCCGCGCGAGACGGTCCAGTATATCTTCGATCCTCGGGAGTGGATGGACATCGGAGCTTATGACCTCGTTCACCTTCCTATAGTCGATACAAAACCTTTTGGTCTTGTCTCGCTTGGTCACTAGGGTGACCGGGCTAGAGAAAGGGGAGTAGGACGGCTCAATGATGTCATTATCCAACATCTGTCGGATCTGACTGCGTATTTCCCGTTGGTCGCATATCGGTACCCTATATGGGCGGATGGTGACGACTTTGTCGGAGTTGGTGGCGATTCTTACTGGGGGAACCTTTAGGCATGGGACCGCGAATTTGTTCCGGGAGAACACGTGTTGGTATTGGCGCAATAGCGCCGGGAATTGAGGTGGATACGGTGGCTGCGGTTGATTGTCTATGGGGATCCCTGGGAGGTGTTCTGGTGATAATGGGTGGTGTGTGTGGTACATGGAATGGTGTGTGGAATGGGGATGTTTGGGTGTATGGTGAAGGTGATCCGTTTGGACCTTGGTGGGGTGTGAGAGGTTGGCATTGGGTGGTTGTTCTGGTACCTTGACCCTATAATAAGAGCAGTTGGCTCTAAAAAAGTTCTTTGATTGGACATGGTGCGGTGGTTGGGTGAGTCCCTGGGTTGTGGACGTGTTGTCCGAAAAATGCGCATATTGGGTATTGTTGGCGGAAGGCGGAAAAATAGTGTGGGCCTTGCATAGGTCCGCCTGGCATTCCCAATATGTGCACCTTTCGGGCAACACAGCAAAGTGGTAGGTCAGGGGCGACAAAGGTGCGTCGAGTTGGTACATAGTGCCATGTGCAAAATCGATTTTTAATTTGAATTTACGGAGGGTATTAATACCAAGTATTCCAAATGGTAGAGGGGCGTCCACCACGTGGAATACTTCGTTTTGGGTTATGGCATGAATGGACAGGGGGAAGGTAATCTGGCCTATTGTTGGCACGTGGCCATCTATTGTCTGTAAATTTACTATTTTTTTAGTTATTAAATTTAGGTCAGGGAAATTATTCTTTAAATTTTTATATATGGCACATGACACTAGGTTAACGGACGCACCCGTGTCTATCAGGAATGGTAGGGACAGTCCATGGGAGATTGGCAGACTAATTGTCAGGTTGACGAAAGGCCTGGTCAGTAGGCCTACCTGTTGGCTGCTGGTCTGGGGCTCCCTTGGTTATCCCAGTGGCTTGTGCGCGTGACGCTTGGTGATGGGGCTGGGCTCGCGGCCGTTGTTCCGCTAGTTGCGCGGAGCGCGCTGCTCGTGCGTCTCCGGAGGCACGGGGCAACTGCGGGGCTTGTCTGAGACGACACTCAGAGTGCCAGTGTAGTCCACCACAAAAACGGCAGTCTGTTGGCGGGGTCGACCTGGTTGGCACTGTTCTTGGACTAGGTCGCACCGGTGCGTAGGGGCCCAGTAGGGGTGGTGCGTGCTCGTCTGGGTGCCTTGGAGATGGTGCGCCGCTGCCGCGGATCCGCTGCACCAGCCGGAACCATGCACCTAGGTTCTCTGGCGGCACAATGCGGACGAGGCGCTGGTCGGAGGGTGGCAGCCCCTCGGTGAGCGTCTCCAAGATGACCTCTTGTGGGAGGCCCAGTTGTAGACCCAGCGCGGTCTTATTCCGATAGTATTCTTCCAGGTTGGGCTGTCCGGCCAGCTTCATGGAGAAGTATTGGGCATACGTGGCCTCATTGGTCTCCGGATAGAGATCCAGGAAGGTCTGTCTCACCTGGATGTAATGTTGGGTCTCCATCCGAAGCCTCCTGAAGTGTTCTAGCGGTTTGTTGTTCAGGTAACGGGGTAGGCGGAGCACTTTTTCCGTGTTGGTGAGACCATCCCAGTCTGTTTTCTGGTCATATGTCCGAAAGAACTGTGCGGCTGGGTAGGTCCCGTCGAAGCTCTGGACTTCTATCTCCGTCCGATGGGTCACGCGGTCGCTGGTGGTCTGAAGGGCAGATAAACACGCTGCGAGGCGTGCCAAGACGGCCGGCAACTCTACCGACGGCGGGGGTGGTTCTATTTTGGGCGTACTTACGGCGGGGTTGTTGTCTCCCTCTGCGGTGTATTCCTCCGCGTCTTGCGTTTCGTTTTTCTCGTCCATCCTGTCGGCTCTCTGTGATGTATGGGAAAAGGATCCTGAGAATCTTATCGACTCTCTATAATATAAAAAAAATGCTTGTCGACTTCACTGTGATAAAGTGCTTTGTCCTGAGAATCCTCGGGCGTGGATGGGGTTTTGTATGTTTGGGCAGTCGTTGTCGATGGCGGTGGATGAAAAATCGGCACACTATATCGATTAATGAATCACAAAACACCTCGGAATATTAATCATTGGCGGCTCGGGAGAGGAGATGGAAGGATTTTCGCGATTAAATTGGATTGAGATGACTCACATCTTGGACCTCGAGGCACTACTTTTAGAAGAAGCACACACACGTCTTGACACACTCGTTACCGACCGAACTGTCTGGTTGCCCCGCCCCCTGGCTTGGGTCATGTGGGACCCTGCTTGACCTTTGATTGGCCCCTGTCTCTGTCGGCCATGATGGTAAATTTGGTCGGGAAGACGCTTGGCCTAACATCCCAATCTCTCAGGACATTCAACTCTGGAATATGAGGGCCTCTTTGTTCTAAGTGACCTAGATACACGACTTGGATCTGTCGTTCTTTTCTCTTCTACTTCTTCCATCTCCCACGTCCTTTGACTGCCATCTTTATTATAATCCATACAGAATACATTATATCCAACATGGTACATAATTATTTATTAGACAATATTCTTTATAATATTACATATATATATCTTATATATTTTAAAAATAAATTGAAATATTGGTATTCTCAAATAGAATTGTACGGAGTGGAGTTGTGCAGTCGCGGCCTTCTGTGGAAGAAAGATCAAACACTTTTACTAAGTGACGGGTTTATTTTTGAACCAAAAGTCGTCACAGTTTTTGAGCAAATCAATGTTAATAGTAATCTTGAGGCCTCTTGAATAGGTAGAGCACCTCAAAAGAAAGTAAAAAGAGAAAAGAATAAAAACTTAAAAAAAATGATAGTAATATTTACATACTGGCCAACTCACAAAAAAATCTAGCTAACTATACAAAAAAAAAACTATTTATATTTACTTCCGCGCCGTCTGGTGTTCTCGGCGTCACAGAGTTCATCTATGAAAATAAATAATTAAAATATTAATAAAAATATACAAATTGTGTAGAATATAATATTACCAAAAAATTATTTACAACATATATATATATATATATGTTACTTTTAGAACAGTGTCGTGGGTCCCTGACAGACAGATGTTACATCCACACATGTGCGCTGTCTATATATATATATAATATATATATATTTACAACAAAATTTGCTAAGTTAGCAATCTCACTAGTCAATGGAAAAGCAGTCAGAGAGTGAGAGAGAGATTAACTAAAGAATAATTTTTAATAACCAATTTTAGTAATATTAAGGTTTAAGTAGTTTGTCTGTCATGACAGTCATCTCCAAAAATGTCTCGGAGGCTCCAAGATCCTGGTTGATTTCGCTCTGGAAATCCTCAAGCTGAGCCAAGAAGAAAGGCCTTTTGTCCTCGAACTCAGGATATATTTGTAGTAGTTCCTGGTAGCTCTTGGTCTGGGACAGGTGGCATAAAATGAAGATGGCTGGGTGGCGTTGGAGGGGGAAGTTGGCCAACCAGTTGAATGACTGTTCCATCAGGGTACCCAATTCTTTGGGCGTCAGATCCTTCAAGGTTTCAGCCACTGTCTCCCTTATCTGGTCTGATGAATTCACCATTTCCAGGATGATGGAGTGGGAAGTTTCGCCCGAGTCCAATGGCAGGGCCAGTTGGAGAGCCATGCTCCAACGGCGGTCGTGAATGCATTGCGAGATTTCTTGTTGCGGATAATTTGAATTTACTTTTTCTTCCATTTTCCAAATATATATATAAATATATATTTTAAATCTTTATAAAATATTTATTTTGTAAACAAAGTATGTTTTGTTTATAAAAATTAATGACGAGGCAATATTAGAAAAGTATTATTAAGTGAGAGAGAGAGAGAGAGTGAGAGAGACAATAAATAATTTTTAATTGTCACACATAAATATGAATAAATATGATTATTGATTGATTGATTAAATATATATTAATTTGAAAAAAAAAATATAGGAAAAATATAGGAAATAAATAAAATAAATGATAAATATTTTAAATAAATTGAGTGATAAATATAGAGTTCTTTCACACAGTTCTTTTAAAGGCAGTTACATCTTGTCTCCTCCTTGGGGGGAGGAAGGAGTGTTTGGCTTCCCACAGAAGCGGTAGTGCGGTGAGGGGCTGCTGCAGGGGTGGTGTCCAGGGCATTTAGGGAGGCCACAGAGGCGGCCGGGGAGGAGTGACGGGAAGTTAGGGAGGGGGATGACGAGAAGCTAAAGAAAACGACGTGTGCTTTATAAACGTATTGAACCTATATCTTATACGTCTCATACCTATAACGGAAAAATGTTTAGATATTCAAATATTATTTTCTATACTATGATCGTTGAGTTTTTACTTGAAAACATTTAGAACGACCAACAACAATTTATTATTATCTCTAGTACGGGGGGTATAGGCCATGATAATCATGGTGGCTAGTAGTAGGCGATTACATGTGTATATTGTTTACATGTTTCTACATGTGTAGAGACATGTGTAATACACGATACAGTAAAAGCAACGGTAAAAATTGCCTCAATGATCCTAATTCTAGCTAAAGTCCAAATCCACTAGTGAGTGCAAGTAGCCAAAGGGGTTCTGGTAAATTCAAAAGTCGAGCTACCGTCTACACACGTAGAAAACGATTCGACTTTTGCACTTACAAATGTGGCAGAGCCCCGTTTGGTTACTTGTACTCACGGGTGGGTTTGGATTTTTGCAAGAATAAGAGGCTATTAGAGCAATTTTTTTTTTTCAATTCAGGAAAAAGTGCTCAATGTGACAATTTTGACAATTAAACAACTTTATTGACATCTCGTCAATCTTTACACTCAAAGGGAGTTATAAGGAAATAATAATGGTAGGAATGAAAAGAGATATATACAATCGACGTAGCCCTCTCCGAGGGCACGTCCGGATCAGGAGCTTAAAGCCGCCTTGAATCTAGACAGATCCCTGCCATTTGGGTAGTTCATGTTCGGAACATGTTTGATGATAATGTCGAAGAATTTGTCGAGAAGAATCTTGTCTTCAGGCGTGAGTAGCCCGAGGAGGTGCTCCGTTTCGTCTTCGTAATAGACCACGAGTATGATATCCATCCTGACCACATTATTCTTGTTATATATGGAGTGCAGGAATTCTCGATCCTTCAATCGGATGAGTAACTTTTCTATGTCCACATCGCCCTCAGGAGTGAGAGCTATAGGGGGTGCAGGAGCTCATGGGTCATCGGGGTAGGTATTAGTAGCGGTGGGGCTACTGCGGCTGGTGCTGACTTCATCACATTGGGAGTAGGCGGCGCCGGCCCAGCAGACTGAGGCTCAGTGAACCGACGGGGCGAAGTGCTGGGGACCTACCAAAATCAGACGAATCAACAGAGAATTTTGTTATATGAAAATATTTTATTTTGGGTGTTTTCGTATATATTCCATAGAATCTCTTTTTTGCTTTCAATAGAAAAGTTTATTTTATGCACAATCTGATCTCTTTTGAACCGAACAGGACATGTGATGGTAACCATACACACAAAGTTAACCACAATGATCAAAATACTTTCTTATTGAAGTAAGCGCTTTCTCATAATTTAGACGTATCTTTCTAAGGTATTCAAGTTTCCTTTTCGAAAAGATATCGGTGAAGGAGTCGCTTTTTCTTCGCCCCAAAATAATTAGATTTCTATTTCTGTTGATTGGTAACTTTAGTACATACATGCGCGCTCAGATGTTTATGTACTTGTATATAGTGATATTTGCATATAAGTATTACAATTACGATAGTATATTTTCACGTTTTACAGATATTGGAGAGAGATGAAAAATAGAGTCAAAGACAGCACAAAACTTAATGAGCTCTACTTATAGTTCCAATATGTGGACTACTGTATGCCTGCCTGTACAATAAATGACAGAAAGCTCGCCATACCAATGAAGAAACACACATTACTGAAGTTTTTATAAAAATATAGAAGTTTCAATAATGATGGATATGGAAGTTATGGAAGTTATATTTGACGTAATTGTTCCAATGTGAGAGGTGTACCGAGGTTTGATTGAATTATATAACGGGAGGTATATAAAACCTTTATACACATACTGTGGGAGGTATTTATTGTGTTTCGTTTAAATAACAAGAGGAGACAAAAGACACATTTGTATATACACTCATGTGTGGACAAAACTTAAGGAAGTCTGAATCCCGATATACATGCTAAAAGGTACAACTTCCTTAAGTCCATGAGTGTAGAAGAATATATTTTGAACACAGCCAAATATAATCGTTACATTCAATACATATTCAACAACCTGTTTCCTCTTCCTATATGTTCCTAACTCTTAAGTAAAGCCTGTCGTGGAATGTCCCCGGAATTATTAATTTCCTCATTCGTTTCGATACCTACTCTCAAAATGTGGTTTTCCCTTTCAGATCTTGATGGAAGATATCCTGTGTATATTGCGTCTTCTCCAATTTTGTGCCGAGGGCCGTTTCCCTTTTTGTTATTTCACGTTTAATTTATCCTACATATTCTCTTGTTAAATTATGTGCACTTTGTATGTTTTGGCATTTTTTATTATCTTTTTCATTGTTTTTTTTTTCTCTCTCTGTTAAATATGTATCCTCTTTTAATCCTTATACCATTTTTTTAAAATTTCCATAAAATTACCGTTATTCATATATATGGAAATATAGATTTCCCAAGCCGAGTAAAAATAAAATAAAAAATTCGGAATAATCGTTGAGAAGTATTGGGAACCCCGTATCAGGGCTTTGGAACTTCGCGGAAATTACAATACGGATTCCCGATAGAAGAAACGCTTCTAACAATCCCACTTTGTTCTCTCTCCTAAGGTTTTCTGCAAACCACAATTCTAAAGTATTGACTTTCGCGTAGTTACGTATGAGCACTAGACGGCCGACGCTGTTAGATTATCTCAGGGTATCAAGGAATACTTTTGCCATCGAATATTTTATAAACACCTAGGCATTAGTTTTCCTCTACTTATATATACGTCACTACTTTTATCGGGATAGACTAGCAATTTGACAAACTAATTCTTCAATGCATATCCATACACACTGAAGTTGTTTATTTTAAACTATCTATAGAGAATTACTCTATCAATCCTCCACTTTTGGTTTTATTAAGAAGAATGTTTATTGACGCTGTGGATTAATCTGCTCTAATGAAGTATGCTTTTCGTTCATTTTCAATCTCGCTATACAAAATATATTTATAGAGGCTGTTTACAAATGGTGTATACTGTATTCATTCCTTTGAAAATATTGAAAACTATAAACTATTGTATAAGAAATATATCATTATATATTGTTCAAAGTCAAATACATTTTCCATAATATTTGATAAACCACGACTTTGTGAACTTCTCGAGCAAGCAATATCACCGCGCGAAGATGGCGTTGTAAGTCTCAATAAGGATGGAATCTCGAAACCACTCTAAAATTGATTTGGACGGTATTGTCCTCAAAATATGACATGCTATCGTCCCATTCTGTCCAGCCATGGTTTCACTGCCAGATAACCATCGATCAGGTAGTTTCATAAGTTTATTTTGGTTCAGAATCATGAAGATAGAGGCCGGCGGCATTCAGAGTTCTTAGAATTAACTTTTGGCCACTTTTCTCGACGTTTCGACCTAAATGTCCTCGTCAGAAAAAATAAAAGTCAAAGCATTTGGAAAGGCGTTAGATATTATTCAGAGGTTGAAAGGGTTTCAAGGGCATTGTCTTTCCAAAATCATACGTAAGCATTTTCCTTTAGTAAAATAAATACAGGTATTTTTCCATTCTTTATAAATATTTAATGAAAATAAACAGTAAATTATATCGAAAATATATATATTTATATATTTGTGCTATATTTCTTTCTATATTATAGAGTATATATGTATATTCATTATAAAGCATATAAAAGTTAAAATATATTTGAATCATTTGTAAGAACTTAAAACCCCTGCGATATTGGTAAGGTTGGATGGTGTGTATATACAAGTGTGTCAAGTTGAGGAAAACAGTGGGTTACTTCCTAGCCGTTATTCAGGGTGTAGGATGGTTGTTGATGTGCTGTGTTGGTGTGGCTTGTGGAAAGGCTGCTGATAAAATTATAATTAAAATTAATTTATTTAAAGCAAGAAATTATAAAGAGAAAAGAAGCAACGGTTGAAATAACGGCCGCCGCACTAGCCTTGTTGTTTACCGCTAAGTGGCCAGCGTCTCTGATGACGTCCCACGCGCATGCGTAGTGAAGTGTTGACGCCCGCGGATGCCGAGGCCGTCTTAGTTCGGCTCGCTGAAGCAAAGTGTAGTCGCCACACTACTCCCCCTCCAGTAGGATCTTTCCAGCGATCCTATGCAATCTTATTGGCTTGCCAAGTTCGGGTCTTGGGAAAACATCGGTCCTTTTGATGTGAAAGCAGGCTTGAGGCGGTCGACTGACACCCACGTGGATATCTTTTTAATTTTCAGTTTGTAAATTTTGGGTTTCCTAAAAAGGACTTCATATGGACCGTCGTATGGGGGAGCTAGCGGTGGCAATATCAGGTCCCGACGTAGATAGACATGGGGACATGTCTCGAGTGGTTTGGGCACGTAAACGTGGCGGTTCCCATGTGGTTTGCTTGGTGCAGGTTTCAGAGATGCCATGGCGCGCTTGAAGTCCTCCAGCCACGGTTCGGTAGGCGAGCTTGCAGAGGGGGGGTCCTCGAAAAAAGTTCCTGGAAGGGGTAGGGGCTTCCCATAGACCAGCTCAGCGGTTGTGGTGTTGAAATCTTCCCTTAGCGACGAACGAATCCCTAGGAGCACCAGGGGAAGTTTCAAGGACCATCTCGTGGAATCGTGACAGCGAAGGGAGTCTTTCAGCTGTCTGTGGAATCTTTCTACCAGGCCGTTTGCTGCTGGGTGGTAGGGTGATGTCCTTATTCTGTTGATTTCCAGAAGCCGTGTCAACTCACCGAAAAGTGCTGATTCAAACTGCCTGCATTGGTCTGTAGTCACTTTTGCTGGCACGCCAAAACGAGATATCCAGACCGATAGGAAGGCATTTGCTACTGTTTTGGCGGTGATGTGTTGGTGTGGCTTGTGGAAAGGCTGCTGATAAAATTATAATTAAAATTAATTTATTTAAAGCAAGAAATTATAAAGAGAAAAGAAGCAACGGTTGAAATAACGGCCGCCGCACTAGCCTTGTTGTTTACCGCTAAGTGGCCAGCGTCTCTGATAACGTCCCACGCGCATGCGTAGTGAAGTGTTGACGCCCGTGTTGTGTTTGTATTACGAAGATTCGGATATTGTATCTGTTGATATTAAATCGAATGTTTTTTTGGCGGACTTAGAAAAAATGTTATTCAATGATATCGGGTTAGAATTGAATGAAATTGCGACTATCTACGTGGACAATGTGTGGTTAAAGGTGTCACAGGCGTGTTGAAGGCGTCTTTGGCCTGAAAATTGAAAGAGTTTAGTGGTGTGGCGCTGTGACACGAAGCGAAAAAATTGTAAATGAAAAGGTGCCACGTGAAGTCTTTGTTTTGTACAAAATCTAACCTGTTTCACTAAGAATAACAAATTTACTAAAGTCATGGTTGTTGGTTGTACGAACATATCGATAATTTTTATATTGTTAGTGGATATGACACGTTTAATGTGAGAAAAAAAAAGATTGTGTGTGTGTGTGTAGGGCGACGTTATAAAGCTTGTGTGACTCGAAATTGGATTTGGGTGTTAAGTCGCGCACTAAAAATTGTTGTCAATTGGAAAAAGTTATGTGAGAGGGTGTTGTATATTTTGTTGAGAGTGATTGGTCGATATTTAAATATGCATGTAAAAGGATGGAGTGTAGTTATGTGGGAATTTAACGATTGGAAATATTTGGAAGGCTGTGATTTAAGTTACTTCTGTCCAAAGATATGAAAGAAAAGGATATAGGGGCGTTGAAAATGGGATTAGGAACATTACAATAAGATTAAATAAGAGTGTTGGAGTTCACCACGTGTGAGCAACCCGTTCCAGGAGGGGAAAATTTAGTAAATGGGACAGTTGTTTTAACCTGTCCATGGGACACGTTTTGCTTGCACGAGGTGAATTTGTATAAGGTAGTTGGTAGAGGTACATTATCTTGATACAGGAGTAGCTGAGAACAGTTTATAATTAGTAGAAATCGTTTTATGGAGTTAAGGGATAATATGATAAAAGGCAAGAGTGTATCGATGATATGGAATTTTAGATTCCGCGTTATGTTACTTATTTTTACGTTTAAAAAGATATAATCTATGGTGAAAATATTGTTAGCTATGGCATTAATAGTTAAGTTAAATGGGTGGACAGGTATTTTTCTTTTACAAACTGATTTCTATTATTTTAAAAGTATTCTGCATAATTATAGCGATAGATGCTCCTGTATTAAGTAGTAGAGTAGGTTTACATTATTGGACAGTTCAGTTCGAACGAGCAATTGTTCAACAAAATTATGTATGGAGGAACCTACTGTTGTGCTGCCTTGTATGTCGGGACAGGCCTGGTTTGGTGCCATGGTTGGAGGTTCCTTGGGACAGTTAAGAGTTCATTGCTTGCGCTGGGCTCGTGGTTTAGAGATGATCGGGGGAGCAGGAACATACGCTCGCGTGTTGGTAACTCGGAGGGGCGCTTGCAGGAGGTTTGGTGGCTTTCTCAGTCTTGTAGAGTATTGTAGTTGGGCCCGATCTGCTTGGGCGTCGTAGTTGGTGAAGAAGCTCTGCGCCTCGTACGAACCATCGTAGCGATTCCACCTCTCGCGATGTCCGGTCACGGCAGAAAGCTGATGTAGCGTCGTCGTCAACCTCCCTAGGACATCTGACACCGGCGGCGGGGGTGTGACGTCTTCCTGGCCGGGGACAATTTCCTGCGTCCTACCGAGAGTGTTTTCTTTCTTCGGAAAAGTGGTGTGTTCGCCACTTTCGTAGTCGGGATCGGACTTCATGGGCTCCTTTGACTCCTCCTCTCTTCCCTGTTCCATCTTTCTGTACAGACAGTGGTCTACTTGCTTACTTGTACCTTGGCGTCCACTATCCTGTCGACTCTTCGTTACGGGGGAGTCTGTGATATCTTGGGACCTCTGGGACCAGTGTTACCTGATGCTAGACGACCCTCGATGTCAACTCTCCCGTGCAGTCGTGGTGGAAGGCGACACAGCTGGGCCAAAGGTGAAATAAACAAACAGAGATTCCACTAAGAAGCGTCTGACGTCAAGAAGGAATGGGATGAGGGGAGAGAGAGATCTTAAGAGCAAGTGTTACCGTTGGAATCCAAGCGAAGACTAACTATTCTTGCTTCTCGATTTAACACCACGACCTTGCTTCCTTCTAATTGGCTGACCTATTTAGGTGATTCTTTCCTAATTGGTGGGACTTTTTCACGTGGCCGTAGGCTATTGGTTGACCTACTTAGGTGATTCTTCTCTAATTGGCCCTGCGGCTTCCTTTGATGGAAGATACGTCCGGTCTTGGCCCGGAAGTACGGGGCGTTACTTGACTTTTATAACTTCTGCGTTATCAGATACGCCCTGTCCTGTCAGGAAGTATTGACTTGTAAATTATTTATAGTTGGGCTGGTTTTAAGCCTCTTTTGCTAGGCCTTGCTTCGACTTCTGTCCTAAGCCTGATTAGTTTTAACCTTAATTTTCTCCTGTTAGTCTCCATTCCTTCTATCTGTACAGTTGCGATACTTTATTAGATTCTTACGCGGTACAGATTGATGTTAGTTGAGGCTTTCTATGTGCAGTACATAAGAAGTTATATACAGTCATGGGGTGGAACATGTGGTAGTAGATATCTAGACTATTTACAACAATTCCATGGTCTTAAATCATCACATAAATATAATAAATACCGATATATAAATGCTAATATGCAAATAATAACAATAGATACAGCCAATAAGTACATTAAGCCAATCAAGGCACTGGGCAACAGTGAGAGTATTTCAACACGGCACAAAATAAAAACGACAAAATAGCAGAAATATTGTATAAATATGCCAATATATGATTTGGTACTGATGGAACATTAACGAAAAAACAAATCTAATTAAAGAATAACCCTGTACCTGTAAAGATGGTGAGTATTGCTTCATATCTACAAAAATAGGAACGTAAAGTATAGGAAATGTGAATAGTTATCCTAAATGCAATGTTTCCCAAAAACTTGTAATTAGATACCATTATAAACTGGAAAGACGCAGAAGGGCGAGATTCTTCAAACAGTGAAGAAATCTTCTAGTTCTATTAATATTTACAAAAGAGAAAGAAAAGATCGAAATCGACAAAACAAGGAAATATCTATCTAATCTTCTGGTATATAAGCAAAACTTATCTCTCCACAAGAGAGAGCCGGTAAAGTATTTACCAGATTAGACACACTCGAATAAAATATAATATTGACTCACTGGATAAATATATATACAATACTCTCTCTTACTGGAGTATATCAGGTTCTCTGGAGGTTGATGCAAGGAGTGAGTCCACGTCATCTTCCATCTTCGATACCTCAGAAGATTGAAGTAGCTCTAGAAACATGCATATAGAGAGCTGATATGTTTTTTTTTTTACTATGAAGAGTTCATCTTTACTTCTTTCCTCAAAGAGAATATCCTCTTTCAATCTTGGTACTTTTTTTCTTTGTTGACGGAGTGGGGAAAGCGAAGATGGCGTCGCAGGACGCATAATGACCTCTAGGGAGGTAGAAGGCGGGCTTCAGTATGAGCGGGTCAGCTCGG